TAGTCTAATCTTCTAAATGAGTTGAGGAGTTGAGTCTCACTTCTGAGATTTTAACAGACTTGTTGTGGTGCCCCTCCATCACCCCGTGGTGTCCATCAGGAGCTGTTACCAAAGTCCACTCATATGTGTAAGGAGCCTCTGAGGAAAAAGCCACTGTCAACATAATATTAAATGCTTAATTACGATTCAGGAATGCAGAAGGCCGTACAGTACCTGAAGTGTCATCTGGATTAACAGTAGCATTAAGTTCAACTGTATTTTGAGGCAGTGTTGCTTCCACAGGGCCTTTAATGGACACAGACAGGGCTCTTTCTGAACAAAGAGAGTGTGTGAAACGAACGTTAATCTGAGTAATAATAATAGTGATGCTTGCTTGCATGAGTAAGCACCACTAATAATTAGAAATAATGCAGTAACACATCTGTAGTACCTGGCTCTTCTGTGATCATCTGCGACGTGGCTTCAGTGCTGAGTGAAGTACTACTTAAGAAACTACTGACTGCGCTGAACCTCGAGGGCTCTGTGCTGATGTCTTGCAGGACATTAGGTGGAGTAGTTGCAGACGAAATGTTGTGTGGGTCTTCTTCAACCTTTGATGATAAAAGAAACATTGTTTTCCAAACTCTACTGCTGTCACCCATGTCGACCAGAGTCTGTGGACTAGTACAGGACACCAGAACAAGGCAATGAAATGTGAATGACATGACTCTAACAGGATAATGATGAAGTGTTATTTACAAATTTCACAAGATTTGACACAGCAGATGAGACATGAAAGACTGATTAAGCACTTGGCCAGAGTGAGAGTACATTTGAGACACCATGTTTCCCAATGACGCCACAATATTAAAATAGAATCATGACATTTCAAGTCATGATAATGAATTGGCAACTAACACCATCTATAAGAGAAAAGCCAGTTCCTTTCATTGCTGATTGCTGCCAACAGCCATGTCAATTTTATGATATATATATATATATATATATATATATATATATATGAATGTATGTTAAATTTAAATTATCTTCATCTTTAATTATAATATTTTAAATTTTATATATATATACACTACCGTTCAAAAGTTTGGGGTCGGTACGGTTTTAAATACTTTTAAAAGAATTCTCTTCTGCTAACCATGGCTGCGCTTATTTGATTAAAAATCCAACAAAAATCAGTTATAGTATTAAATATTATTCCAGTGTAAATCAGCTGTTTTCTGTGTGAATATATAGTAAAGTGTAATTTATTCCTGTGATCAAAGCTGAATTTTCAGCATCACCAGTGTCAGTGTCTTCAGTGTCAAATGATCCTTCACAAATCAGTATAATATGAGGATTTGATGCTCAAGAAACATTTATTATTATTATCAATGTTGAAACAGTTGTTGGTCTGTCAGTTGTACAGTTTTTTTTTGTTTTTTTTAGGATTCTTTGATGAATAGGGTTAGGGTTAGAATCTTTTGTAACATTATAAATGTCTTTACTATCACTTTCGATCAAATTAATTATTCCTTGATAAATAAAAGTATTGATTTCTTTCCTCCAAAAAATAAAAATAAAATTCTCACTGACCCCAAACTTTTGAACGGTAGTTTATATATATATATTAGTATTATATAATTACTGTATAATACTCAATAGGCCTATATTATACATACAAATAGTCCACAGTTGAGAACAGTTGTCTGCCCAATATTGTTTGTGGAAACCATGATCCCCCCCTAATGTGTAAAAATAAATAAAAGTATTCATTTCTTTCAAAAATAGTCTGACCCAAAAACTATTGAAAAGTAGTGTATATAATATTTATATACCTGTCTGTTTTTCTCAATGTCTTTAGGGTGTCTGGAAAAAGTATGCATTAATCTGTAACCAACACTCACCGTTATGTTAAGTGCAGTGGTTGTTTGGGGCGTAACATCGGATTCTGCTTCAATAAGAGATGATCTGCTTTCATTTCTCATTTCTGGGAAGTGACTTGGGGGAAAGAAGCTACTTTCAAGAGAGCCCTGCACTGCCATCGGTCTTTTACCAACTCTCTCCATTTCTGATTGGTTGAATTCTTCTTTTCCTTGAACAAGTGGCCAAGCATATAGCCCAGGGCTTTCTACTTGTTCTACAGTTGTGCCATCCCTGTCTTCAGCTCTTTTTTCTTCATCCAAACTTCGAAAGCTCTCAGCATACTCAGCATTAGTGTTTTCCAAATCTTGAATGCCTTCCACCAAGGCAAGGTCCTTCATAGGGTCCTCAGAGCCCTTGTGCCTGGGAAGAGGCTGCCAGTGGTTTGGGAAAGACTCTCCTCGGACCAAGGATTGGAGAACCAGTGTCTGCGGGGGCCCACGTTGCAAAAAGGCCAGGAGAGAGTCAGTACCAGGCCTTTGCTTCGGCTGGCAATTTTCTTTTCGCTGACAACTGAGCACATAGCAGCGGTGCTCAAAAAACCAGGCCAGGTCACAGCCCAGGAGACCACAGCAGGCCCTCGCACACTGGGCCATAGACGATACATCCGGAACCCGTAAAATACTGCTGCTCCTCAGATCCGGAGACACCACGCTCTCCGTGTAGATTGCAGCCTGCCAGCACTGTCCCGATACTGCATCAAAAACAAACAACAAATGCCTGATAAAATAAATGTTAGGGTTTGTCATTTTTGATTCAGTAGTCCAAAAAGACGTTACACAGCCAAGCCCCTACAGTATCGCAGCATCTCCAAAAAAAGTTAAAATATACGTTTATGGAAAAAATTATGTGCATTTATCACCTAGTTTTTCTCTCAGTGTCTTTCATGTCCTCAAAGTATGTTTAAATGGCAGCTTACTAAATTATTTAGCATTTCCTGGACTGAAGCAACTTAGGTTTCCTTGGTTAAATCATACATTATTTTTTAAATCATTCTCCTTGACTGTGAGCTCCATACTCTCACTATATCATACTATATAAGTCATAAATGCCTGAAGTATCAAATATGATACAAACTTTTTAACTTTTTTAAAATTTTGTCTAAAGCTTCAATAAACTGTTCCATTAAAAATATATAAATGTATATGGTACAGATTTGCCTTGGTGGTGATGCATGTAATGCAGAAATATATACTTGCCTCTGGTACAGAAGAGCAGCACAAGTGAGAGAACTGGAGAGACATTCATGATGACACTGCTGCCTTTACACAGCAATGGATCTTGACCGTCATTACCTCTTCAAACTTTCTATAAAGAGGAGACAAAACACGCTAGGCTATCACAAACAGACAGATCAAAAATAACATTACAGCAGCATTAATAAATTAATAGTAATTTGCCATTTGTTGCATGGTCTTTTTTATTTGACTTCTATCCCTCACAGCAACCGGCCCTGGGGGCTTAGATACCTCTGGAGAAATGGCACGTGACACTAAAATACATTAGCCTATATTATCCGCAATGTTGTATTTTATTATTTACCAAAATTAACGCAATGTGTTACATAAAACAAATCACTAAAAACAATGGGACTAAATAGAAAGTCAACATAAAAAATATGCGCTGCTATTGTGAGTTGTAGCTGTACCCGTGGGATGTGACGCTCTTTTTCAAGCATCTGTTTCCATGACATCGAGAATCAGCTTCCGCACTGCTGCTCCATCGCGAACCTGCGCTGGATACTGGAGTAATGCTGGGATGAAGATCTGCTATTGTGGCAGTGATGCTGAGATGAAGGTCTGATTATGATATTGCCAGAGAGATGTTGTGTATGTCTGCGAGAGGGAGTGTCGGCAGAGCAGACAGAGAAAAGCGGGGCGGAGGGAGACACGTGACGTGATCTCTGTGATGTTGCAGAAACACACCACACCACCACATCATCACATCCCTTGATGCCAAGTAGAAAGTTTTTTTTTACGTTTTTTTAAATTATTATATTATTTAAATATTATTTTATAAAATACGTTATTGTATTAGCATTAATAATTATAACTACTTACTATACTAAACTATATAATAATTAGGCTACTATTAATATTAAGTCGACCACACCTCAAAACGTGGTCACAGAAATAACAACAACATTATATTATTGTATTATTTAAAAAATACGGAATTATATTATCATTATTAATTATAATATGTATCAGTATTTTGACCACACTCTAACACATGTGGTTAGAGAAAACAACAACAACAACAACCAACAATCATCACCATTATACACAATTTTCTTTGAAAAACACCTTAAAAATTCTCCAACAATTGCACATTATCATACCAAACAAAGACTTTTAAAGGGACGTTGATCATACTTGAACCGCTTGGAACGGAGAGCTAAAAAGGGGCGGGGTTTACCAGCTGGCTGAAATAATAGCCTACTCGTCTCCTGAAATAATACTCGTCTCATTTTAACGCTTCCCTGCGTTTTTAATTCAGTGTACATATCTTATTGTAAGCATATACCATAAAGTACGAGAAAAACCTTCTGAGATAAGAATTCCGCTCAGTTTTTCATAGACCAACCTCGATCACTCTGACGTCGGAAATCGAAACTAACTGCTGCTGCCCTATAAAAGGATACAATAACTACTGTTGTCTGTAAGTATGAAATATATATGCTATCTCGTAATTGTGTCTTATATCTCGCAGCTGTTAAAGTTTGTTGAAGTTAAAGGCCTAATTCTGACTATTTATCCGACACTGTTTGACAGTAGGCTATTCGTGTTCATTTAATGTATGGTAGCCTATCGCCAAAACAAAAGTTATATCCTAATACAGGTTAATATAGGTTATATAAAGCAGTAGCACGTACACATAGCTGTTCAATTTTAGATTTAAGCTATAGCCTACAAAATTATAAATCACATGCCCAGATAACTTAGCTATAGGTCTAGCACCTGTTGCCTAATATTCATATTGTTGGCATTTTGGACACAATGCATGTAGTGACTAATAAGCTAACCATGCTTTTCATAGGCATAGGCTGAATAAACTTGTTCATGTCAGGTTTAATTTGACTGCATAATCACTGTCAGTACCAAACCCTGAACAGAAATAGAATCTGAAAGCTCCTAGAAGCACAAACCTATCCTCCCTGCTAAAATGGATAAACCACCTTGTTCACCGAGGTAAGTATTCACTATTATCAAGAACCATTGAAAGCACTTGTATTTTCTGTAGTTAATCAATGCCTGTTATAGCCTACTGTATACATGTTTAATATTTAGTTTGATTATCTCATTTCAAAATGTCAAGCTGCTTTAGTCTTAATAGATAATATGCTGCTGCTGTTTTATTTTTAATGGATTCATATGTATAAGCTCACAACACAATTGACTTTTTGACATTCTGTATTTTATTCTGATATAGTGATACCTGCTCAGGAGAGCCCCGTGTGGGCTGTAATGACAGTGCTCCATGTCTTGTGGACACCAAAGTTGAGGGGAAAACTGGGAAGAATAAAAAGCATAAAAAGAGACGCAGAGCTGCATGCCAAACGAAAACAGGTGGTGATTGTACTCCGGTCACTGTTGAAGAGCTGTCGCCACCCTCACAACACCCGCCTGAGCGCAATGAAAAAAGGTCTGCAGGATCAAAGCAAGAAAAGAATACTCGCAAAACAAGAAATCCTTCTATTTCACCTGAAACTTCTCCTGCACCCTCCTCTCATCGACAAAAGGCCCAAAGTGCACAGAAAACATCAGCTCGGTCTACCTGTGACCAGTCGACTCAGACGGAGTCACCCCAACTCCAATCTGTCCAAACGCAGTCAACACAAACCCCTCCGATCCAGGGTGAACACACACCATCAACAGAATCCAAGTCCACCCAGACAAAACAGTCTAGTTTTCCATTAAAACAGGCATACTGGGGAAATTCATTCACAGATCAGTCAGCTGATCAGCAGAAACCCCAACTCAGCTCCAGAAACAGCTATCTGACAGTCATGGCCTGGAATATAGACGGTCTGGATTCGGATAATGTCTTTGACCGGGTCAAAGGTCTGCTGTCACTCTTAGGAAAGTAAGTGTTACTCACAATTATAATTTTTTTTTATATTTTCAGTATGCATACATCTTCAGACCAAACATTAATATGAATAGATTTCTCTTGCACAGATTTATAAGGATGATTAAATAGTGAATAAAATTTTTAAATGATCAGGTTTAGAGAGTTTACAGTTGCATAGTAGTGTTTCTGAGGTTGCTTATTTAATATTATTCACATTTAAACGTAAAGTGTGTCATTTCTGCTCTACTGGTGGCACTAAGCAAAATTTTGATAAATATGATTGTTTTCCAACAATCAGTTTCCATGAACACTCTCCTGAACGGATAGTCCTGCCACAAACTCAAAGCTGATGTTTCATACTATTAGAGATGCTCAAAGAAACAGATCAATCTTTTGAATCTACAAATGAGTTACTTACTGTATTGTTTTCTTTGCATATTAATCTGAAAAAGTATTTTAACATTAATAGCATTGCACACATCATATATAGCATTTAGCAGTCTCAATTAACTTAAAAAAATATCGAATGTATTACAAAAAGACTTGAATGATTTGATCACTATATGATTTTAATGCAGGTACCGTGCAGATGTTGTACTGTTACAAGAGCTGATTCCTCCTACTTTGAAAGTTTTACAGAACATTATGACAGATTATCAGTTCCTGCAAGGTATGTTAATAGTTGCATACAAGCTCAAAAAATAAATACTATTTCTGGTATGAATATTAGATGATTTTATGTTTCAGCCAGTGAAGAGGGCTATTTCACTGGTATTTTGCTCAGAAAGGAAAGAGTACAATTCCTCCAGAGCAGCATTGTGAAGTACCCAACCACAGAGATGGGCAGGAACCTGCTAGTTGCAAATGTAGGTCGCTGGATAGTTATTGTTTTGATATGCCTGATGCCGTTGACCATATTTACAATGATAAAAGTCATAATGTAAATTTAGACCATTCAAAACATTCAGCGTCCCGTTTTGTGTTTGCATGTTTGTTTAGGTGAGCTTTTTAGGCCATCCACTGTGCATTATGACATCTCATCTGGAGAGCTGCAAGACAGGTTCTCAAGAACGCCTGAATCAGCTGCGGAGAGTCTGGAAATGGATGAAAGAGGCTCCAGAGGACCACTCAGTTATATTTGGAGGAGATACTAACCTCAGGGATTGGGAGGTTGTGTGTGATACAAACATGTGTTTGCTCTAAATCAAAAACCCACATTTTACTCTGTCAAAATGTGACGTGTGAATTTGTTTGTCTGTGTTTGTTATGACAGGTGAAGAAGCTCAATGGGCTGCCGGACAGCATCTCTGATGTGTGGGAGATGCTAGGGAAACCAGAGGAAAGCAGATACACCTGGGACACATCCATCAATGATAACAATGAAATCCCTAATTCTATACGCCTGCGATTTGATCGAATTTTCCTCAGACCAGCCGCAGAAGGTGCCCAGCTACGGCCAGAAAGCATGACCCTGATTGGTCTGGAGAAGCTGAAGTGTGACTATTTCATCAGCGATCACTGGGGCATTCTTTGTACTTTCACATTTGAGGCATCAGAAGAGTAGTGTGTTACTGACTGATATTCTTTTTTATGGCCTCCGCATGATTATAGAACTAAATGGGTCATACGCTTGTTAAACAAATCATTATTTATTAAACTTGACAATCATAAACTTCTGGTAGATTAACTTATACACCAACTATACATATAAAGGGGACCAAGGCTAGTCACACTTTTTACTCCAGTGATTCAGTGAATATTTCTCAGTTTCCTATGTAACCACATGCCGTACATCTTGGCTACAAAAAAAAAAAAGCCTCCACAAAAAATTCCAGTTATTGCACAGTAAAAAAATATAATATAGTTCATTGAACTCACTGACCATTTGTGACAAGCAACATATCACTGGAACCTGCCAATAAACAGCCTATTATTGGGTTTTAAACACATTTTAAACCATAAAACAGTGATGAAACAAAATCAAACCATTGTTTTGGACAACAAATATTTTAAATATTATATTGTGTAACATTAAAAACACATGACAACTTCATCCTGACTTTTATTAAAAGTCCTACCAACATAGTTTTCCCCCTTGTTTTTCCACTAGAGGGAGCTCAAAGTACAGCATATGATTCATATGTATGCTGTGACTGAGAACATCAACCACACAAATATTTTGTTCATTTATTTTAAATCATTATATTCTGGGTTTGGAACAGAGTAAGTAATGTTACTACATAGCATATATGAATACTTATAATGGTTTTGTGTTTTATAGATTTCATTTAAGATTGCAGATTTAAGAATGCTAACTAATTTTTTGTTCAGTATAATTAAGCATCATTGACACATTTGAATAGGATGCACACAGCAGTGCAAAAAACGTGTATGCGTTTTGATTCAATACGCATGCTGAAAGTCTGGACTAAATCTTTTGGATGACCATGAATAATTATATTTAAATGGATGGATAGGAAGGAATATATTCTTTTGGTGAGGAACTGGCAAACATGGCCTGGTTTTCACTTGGAGAAATGATTTACAGCACATTCTCTCTCCTAAACTAAACAGAATTGAAATGTGCCAGTACAGTTAGAGAGAGGTGGCAGGCTGACAACAAGAATTATTTTTTGTTATTGGCATGGTGTCAGGAATTGGATTAACAAAGAGCCATTTACCAGGACAGTCCTCATCATGGACAGCTATTTAGGAATTTACTGTAATGTGCCACAAATTCTTCACACTGCTTCTGTTTCCTACATTTATTTTGAATTTGTGTTTGTCTTACACACTCATTGTTATTATCTAGAGAGTCTAAGAGAGATTCTGCCAGCATTACCTCTCACATAATTGAACACTTACTTATGTAAACAGAACTTTTTTTAGGATTTTATGCTAAAAAGAAAAAGAAATGTCCTTTAAAATGAGTGACAATATCATTAATCAAAGGTTTAACGCAGTAAATGGATCAATGTTCTGTCTAATCTGTTTCCTTCATAATACATCACAGAAAAAGAAGAATGTATTGCCACATCATCTCTATAAAGTATTTAATCACATGTTGAATGTTGAAGTATTCTATCAGCCTAACTAGAAGGCATTATTTAATAAAGACCATGAAGGTTGTGAAAGATCATTAGCTCCCACTGTTATAGGAAACCCTTAGTCATTTTAATACAACGAACTAAAAATAGACTCACACTAATCATTTTAGAATATTTTATCCTGTTATTAAATTGGGTCAAACCAAGAGTCTATTTGAATATAGTTTGTGTGGAGCCCTGAAAATCATGCATTTTCATAAAATATTATCTGAACATCTGGTTTCATAACAAAGAGTCAAGAATCCCTCAGAGTTCCTATATATCAGAATCTGAATCAGAAAGAGTTTTATTGACAAGTATGTTTTTGCACACACCAAGGAATTTGTTTTGGTGCCAGAAGAAGCTCCCAGTACACAGAGACAACAATAAAAATAGACAACAAAATATATCACCTTATTGTACATGTTTGGTCATGATCACCAGCCTGATCAAATATAACATCTGTGGTGGTCTATAGTGATCGCAGTAGAGTTATCAAATAGTTACTGGAAATAACATTTTAGGTTTGAGGATCCAGAATCAGAGACGTCTTGGCTTCTTTAATAGTGTTTTTCCCCTTTTTGTCACATCATGTTGTGCAGAGTTCATTTAAATAAAGGCCTTTTCAGCAGTTTTTTCCCAGTTCAATGACACATCAGCAGGGGTCATAGCAAATAACAGTGAGCCTGACATCAATGGACATATCAGCATATATTTATTATAAAACACTTGCAAAGACAGTGAATATATTACAAATACTTTTAGAGAAGTCACAGTTTGTGAAGTGTCATTATTGCAAAACACAGCGTGTAACCAGAGAACATGGCGTGCCAATTTATACCTTAAAGGGGCAATTCAAAAATAAAAACCGTCATCATTTACACAACCTTGTGTTTTTCCAAAACTGTTTGGCTTACTTAAATTATTTATTTATATATATATATATATATATATATATATATGACTGCATCAATATCATAAAAAAAGCACCAAAAACCTAATTAAGTAAGTGAAAGATGCTGTTTTATTTGTTGTTTCTTTGTTGTTACTATGACATAAAAATTCCAGGACTTTATTAGCACAGCATATTTTAACCAAAATGCACCTTTTGGATCCATTGTTTTAACCATCCATTGTTACATAAACTTGACTTCTGACTTGCACATGGTGACAGCTATAACCTTATCATTCATACAGTTTTAGAAATGATTTGAGTGTTTAATTAAGATAAGATCATATAGGATTATGGGAGTATCCTTCATCCCACAAGAATACTAACTGGAGCTGCTTATGATTTCCTTATGTTAACAAATGTTGTTCAGCACAAACAGGACAATAGCATCTCACCTCACAAGATTGCCCGTTATTTATATTTTACACATACTGTGAAAGCTTTCTTTCATTTGACCCTTTTGGTTAAACGTTCTAACTAATAATAATATTTATGTTATTGTGATAAATACTCTTAGTTCATCATCATCCTCTTACAAACAAGATGATATCCTAATGCACATGCCAGTTTCCTAGTTCGTCTATATCTGGCAAATGATGATGACCTTAAGATCATAATTCACAGTTCAAACTGAAATATGACAAAAGACTCCCATGCTATGGTGCCCTGCACGTCCCCTATTAAAGCAAGTGACATTTCAAGTGACTTGACAGCATGGAGATCAACCGATGCCATGGCAGTCCAAAGCCCACCTGTGCATGCTCAGATTAGCAGAGGAAATAATTACATTAGAAGGCTTCCTCCACTGTACTGGACATATTTTAGACATGATAAGCCTGAGCTGTCAATAAGGATATGCACAAGGCAGGCAGATAATACAGAGAAAATGAAGAACAGGCTTACAGATAGACAGATCACTGATTTAACAGATAAACCAAGGGGGAAGATATTTGTATGTATTTATTTATTTAGAACAGAACAGATGAATTAAGATCACACGGTTACATCAATGCTCCAGATTCAACCATAATGCCTCATTTTAATCTGATTTCCCTGATACTTGAAAGAAAAACATACACAGTAAAACACATTCTGTTAAATAAAAACTGGAAACTGAGTTTGCCAGAAATTCACTGTTTGGTGACATTTATATAAAAATCAAAAACACAATTTTAACAATAATTTACTGCAAAAGCACATAAAATCAAGTAGCACACCTAATAAAAAATGTTAATATGTAATTTTCCATTACTTTGCAACAACTTTACTTTAAAATAAACAAACTGTAGGCTATTACATATTACAGTTTAATTCACTATGACAGAGTAGGCTACACCGGTCTATTCATACAGATTTATTGTGGACTGCCTAATCCAGAGCAGGTGGCAACAAATGTAGGCTACTATATGTAATTACTTAAATGAATGGCTATTCCTGGATTCTCATATTATATGAAATTCATTTGCATATGAGAAAAGAGCTCACCAGGTTATGAGATTCAGCACCCTGTTGGTGGTGGAAATTCTAATATGGAAATTGTACAGTAAGCCCGGTATTAGCTAATGCATTGCTAATGCATGCAAAACTTTACCGTGTTAAGTAGAACATTGACCGTCTTTCAGCAAATTTTCACAAGCAAAATAGAATTATTTCAGAAGAAATCCAAGCAGTTGTAAATTTCGCACAAGGAAAGATTTCCCTTCACTGATTTTGCAACGTGTTCGACGGATTCGCCATGTTGACTTTCATAAAGCTGATTGGGATAAAAAGAGTTCTGAGGCAGCTTCATACATTGGCAACACAATGGATTGTTTGGCTGCAAATCTGCATGACTTGACCCCGTTGCGAAATAAACATTTCGCCCTAACGAAATAGTAGGCTACCTGTTTGCGTAGATTCCTAGGTACGCGAAAATTAGACGAACAACAATAATCGCAACTGTCACTGTAATTTGTCAGTTTCAACATTAAACTGAATGTGCCTGAGCATCGTACTGTTGCGACTGCCTCAGGCCAGCGGTAACGTGAGTTCTTTTTTACGAGCTTTTTTACTTTAGCTGATTTGAGAGTTGTGTTGTTCCACACATGATTGTATTATTATTCCAATTATTCCCTCACCTCTGTCCCTAATCAAGAATGAATTTGAGGCATGCTCCCTGTGGGATGGCATAAACAATTAACCATGATGTGCTCACTCACAAACAGCTGAATTCTGATGGCTGATGATGCACCAATGAACTGCCATTTTCAAATACAATCCTCATAATAATCTCACAGTCCTCTTCTAACTTTATCCACCCTGGTACCAGGAGACTGTGAATGAGACAAATACAATGTATCATTAGTAGCTAGCAATAACAGGCTGGTGATGAAAGAGGCTCTTGATGAAGTGTGGCAGCTCAATTATTTGACGTGCTGGACACAGTAAACACGTTTCACCTTCTGAAACCTGATGGATCAGTTTGGACTGCTTCATTTAATTTTCCTGTCTCTTCGTCCAGTTTGATCTTCTGTAATGACACCCAAAGGGCTCACCAGCCCTCATTCTGTCTTTATGGTGTATTTGGCTATGTGTCAATACTCTTGTTGAAAGATGAGAGATCTAAGGTTTGAAAAGGATGACACTGAACACCCAATTATCGGCTATGGCAGTTTTTTCTATTTTTGGAAAGCAATCCACTGTGCTCTGTGGCACTCCTATTGTTCTTCTAGGCTGCGGTTGCCATGAACACTATGTCGGTGGCGTCTGACATGGCGGTGACCTGTGGAGAAAAGGTTGGCGAATGGCTTACACACCTTCTCCAGCTGGTAGATGTTGTCGCTTAAAACATTCCCCTGCTGCTTTTAGCTTTTGCCATGCTGCTCGTGATTGTCTGATGCTCTTTCAGACATGCATCCATTTCTTTGTTGTTGTTCTAGAGGAAATTAGTAAATGCACCCTTCAGTCAACTTGAGGGCATGAGGACAATAGAG